GAAGGCAGACGCCTAACTGACTGAGCCACCCAGGCGCCCCTATTTTTATTTACTTTTTTTAAAGATTTTATCTTAGGGGGTGCCTGGGTGGCTCAGTCATTAAGCATCTGCCTTCGGCTCAGGTCATGATCCTAGGGTCCTGGGATCGAGCCCCACATCGGGCTCCCTGCTCTGCGGGAGGCCTGATTCCTCCCTCTTCTACTACCCCTGCTTGTGTTCCGTCCCTCGCTGTGTCTCTCTCTGTCAAATAAATAAATAAAATCTTTAAAAAATAAAAAATAAAATGAAGATTTTATTTTAGGAGTGCCTGGGTGGCTCAGTCAGTTAGGCGTCTGCCTTCAGCTCAGGTCATGATCCCAGAGTCCTGGGATCGAGCCCCACATCAGGCTCCCTGCCCAGTGGGGAAGTCTGCCTCTCCCTCTCCATCTGCCTCTCTCCCCCGCTCATGCTCTCTCTTACTCTCTCTCAAATAAATAAAACCTTTAAATAATAAGAAGAAGAAAAAGAAAAAGAAAAAAGATTTGGGGCACCTGGGTGGATTCCTGTATTTGTGAAACAGGATCACGACACCAGCTGGAGAGCTGTAGCTCAGGCAAACAAAGCAAACAAAGCAGCATCTCCCAGCACCCGCGCCCTGCTCTCACCACTGCTGGTCCACGCCCCCCACCTTTGTGGGTCAACACAGCAAGTGAGCGCATTTGGTTTTCAGCTAGCTTACACTGGCTGAGGTCCCTCGAAGAGCGGATGCTCCCAGTCCGTCACCAAGTCCCCCCCACAGAAGCCCTGGGCAGAAACGGTACCGTCCACGTGCAGGATCCTCACTCCCCAGGCGCGGGCACTGGTCAGGAGACTGCTGCTTCTCCCGCCACCTCCCCTGCTGCCACTCTCCTGGAAAAATGACGCAGTCAGGCAGGAGCGAGAGACCCCCCCCAAGCCTGACTGGCTCCGGGTCACCCCACAAAGGGACATCGTGGGAGAGTCTACCCCTGTTCTCGCCGGAGGGGCAGACCGCTGCTTCAGCCACTTGTGACCTGGAAGCAACAGAGGCTTCTCAGAGAGCCATCCGTCAGGAGGGCCTCTGTGAGCCACGCGCTCAGCACACAGCAAGGGCCCGGAGACAGCAGCGACAGTCGCCATCCTCAAGCAGGAAGCCGTGCCCGCCTCAGGCTGTCCCTGCCCCGCCGCCGCAGGGCAGCAGCATCACCCTCCCCCACCGCAGCCGCTCCTCCGTGTCACTTTACCCGCTTCTCTCACAAGATCACCCTAACTCCTCCTCCCGCTACTTAACTTTAATGGCTCTGGATCTCGCAAAAGGGGTAAACAGCTACTTATAAAAGATGTGCGAAGTCTGGCTTATGTGCAGCGCAGACACGTCCCCCAGCATCCCTCCAAGGTGCTCTTGCTAGCTCTGGAGATGGAAGGATCGGGAAGTCAAATCCAGGCTCTACCACTGTCGCCCTGGGGGAACTCTGGACAAATTGCTTCACTTCTCTGAGCTCTACTTCCTCATTCGTAAGAAGGAAATAAGGACGATCCATGTCACAGTTGTGCATTTTGTGGCAGAACTGCAGAAGACCCTCGGGAGAAAGTTACGTGCCAGAGGCGCCCGCCTCCCTCGGCTCACCTGGTTTCTGATGGCCTTCTGCAGTAGCTCCTTGCCTCTGCTCCTGGGCACCTGCCAGGAAGAGAAGAACCCTGAGGTGCGCTCTGCGGCCCCCCTGTGCACCGGAGTTCCACGCAGGTGCCGGTGAGGTCTTGGAGTCCTGTCTCTCGGAAAGCTGGGAGCAGTGACAGCTGAGGAGCAGCAGAGTGAGAGCCTAGAGAACTTTTTGGAGGAAAGGTAAAGCCACACACAATTCCGGGTCGCCCACAGGTAGCTGCAGCTTGGAACCGGGTGGAGAAGGGCGTTCTGCATTTACCCAAGGTCAAAGTGTCGCCAGTGTTCTAAGACCTCTCTCTAAGAGTCTCCGCACCCCCAGCAGAGAAGCCTGGGCCAATTTCAACAAGTCCTCCCTGGTTTACAGAAGACCTTCCTATTGTTTTTGAACCTCTGACACGGAGGTCCCATAAAAAGCGAAACGTATCACAGAAGGGATAGCATGGGGATAACGAGTTGCTGAGGTTTTTAGATCCAGAGCTATGATAAAATAGTTGCAGTCCCTGAATTCAAATGAGAGATTAAATTAAACCAGATGAAACTAAAGCCGGAGACTGCCCACAAGGGCTCACCAAGGCTTCCTTCCTTTGTTCAGAGAACACACCTTTCCTACCCAATGAGGTTCTTACCGAGTCTGCAGGCTTCTGTGAAGGCCTGGTGTGGCCGCCCTTCGGATGGGCCATGGATAGTGTCTGTCCTCTGACCTTGCTGGGGCTGGGGCAGCCTCTGGGGCTTGTCCCACTGCTCTCTGCTTTCGCCTCTCTGCGGCTGGACACGATGTAACTTACTTCTTTGCTCAGAAAACCCTCAATTACCTGAAACCAGATCACAGAGGTGGCTGAAAACCAAAATGCAGATGTAGAATCATCAATTTTGAGAGGTTGGGGAAGGAAATCTTGGCTGCTAGAAGTTTCAGAATCAATGTCTTTAAATAGACCAAATGCAGTTCTGTACCGAGCCCCTAAGAAGACATCATCCTGAAACATAATAGGGTTTATATATATATATTATACAGGTTTTTGTCTCCAGAACTGCTGCTCCTGACCCAGCATCAGAAGGCCAGAGGCTTTGTTATTTGACCAGTTTGAGTCTGCACAGAGCAAGAGCTCCCTGACGGCGCCCAACAGGATTAGGGGTAGCTTAGTTAGGGGCGCCTGGGTGGCTCAGTCGGTTAAGCTCAGGTCATGATCCCAGGGTCCTAGGATCGAGTCTCACGTCTGCTCAGTAGGGAGCCTGCTTCTACCTCTCCCGCTCTGCCTGCTTGTACCCTCTCTCTCTTGTTCACTCTCTCCCTTAAATAAATAAAATAAAATAAAATAAAATAAAAAGAGGGCACCTGGGTGGCTCAGTCGGTTAAGTGTCTGCCTTTGGCTCAGGTCATGATCCCAGGGTCCTGGGATCAAGTCCCGCATTGGGCTCCTTGCTCAGTGGGGAGTCTGCTTCTCTCTCTACCCCTCCTCCCTGCTCCTGATCTCTCACATACATAAATAAAATCTTTGAAAAAAATTAAAAAGAGGGTGCCTAGATGGCTCAGTCGTTAAACATCTGCCTTCGGCTCAGGTCATGATCCCAGGGTCCTGGCATCGAGCCCCACATGGGGCTCCGTGCTCAGCGGGAAGCCTGCTTCTCCCTCTCCCACTCCCCTTCTCCCACTCCCCCCTCTCTCACTCCCCCCTCTCCCACTCCCCCTGCTTGTGTTCCCTCTCTCGCTGTGTCTCTCTCTGTCAAATAAATAAATAAAATCTTTTAAAAAAATTAAAATTTTTTTTAAAATTAGAAAGAGTAGCTTAGTTAGGCCATGGCTTTCCTGTGAAGACACACTGGGGCATTCAGACACTGCACCTGTGATCTTGACCACACTCCAAAAGGAGCAAAAATATGAAACAAGAAAGGGTCTGGCCACTACTCAGCTGCACAGGTATCTGCTCATCCTATCTGTAAGCTCCTCACAGGCACTGAGAGGGTCTGACTCATCTTTGTATCGCAAGGGCCCAATGTGGTGCCTGAGAAACAAGGATATTTAAGTCATGTGTGTGGGGAGTAGAAAAGAGGGACATAAACAGGGGCGAGGTGGTGGATGCTTCATGACCCACTCTGTAGGGAAAAAGCCCTGCTTTGTAGCATGTGCCGATTTCTGGGGGGTAAACTCCCACCGAGGCTGATTTCAAGCTACCGACATGACGTACTGAATGTGGAACTAGAAGGAGATGCTGACAGTTGGCTCCACCTCCAGCGCACCACTAAAAATAAGGCTGGACGACGGCCCTCTCGAAAGGGTGCCTGGATGGGAAACGTGGCACTGAACTTAAGAATACAACAACAACAACAACAAATGTTTAGTTCCTCAAAAAGCTAAACAGGATCTACCACACCATCTGGCAATTCTGCTTCTAGGTATGCACCCCCAAGGAACTGGAAACAGGGACTTGACCAGATGCTTGTACACCCATGTTCAGCGCAGCATTATTTATAACAGCCAAAAAGCGGAAATAACCCAGGCGACCGACAGATGAATGGGTGAGCAAAATGTGATATATACATTCAGTGAAATATTGTTCAGCCAGGACATGAAGTTCTGGACACAGGCTACAACATGGATGAGCCTGGGAAAGATTATGCTGAGATGAGCCAGACACAAAAGGACGATTATTCGAGATTCCACTGATAGGAGGTCTCTTGAATAGGCAAGTTCAGAGAGACAGAATGTAGCTGTGAGTGGCAGGGGCTACAGAAAAGGGAAGTGGGAAGTCTTGCTTACTGGTTGCAGAGGGTCTGTGTGGGGTGATAAAAATTGGGGAAATGGTGGTGAAGGTCGCCCAGGCACATGCATGTAATTCATGCTGAGAACCATACACTTGCCAATGATTAAAATGGCCCATTTTATGCTATATACATTTACCACAATTAAAAAGAACCTTTAAAGGTATGGCTTGAGTGAGTGTATCTACCTTCTGTAACATGGCAAAAACAGACGTTAGAGGGTGGGAGGAGGGCAAGGATTTTCCTGTATAAACGCGGTTGATGGTTTCACGGCTGCACAGCATTCCCACCCCAGTATACCTACTCCCGTCAGAAGGCAGAGCCCACTTTTTCATCGCCTTGAATCGGACTCCTTTTGAACAATACAATGTAGGGAAAGATGCTGTAGAGCCTAAGCCTCAAGAGGCCTTGTAGCTTCTCCTTTCACCTTGGAAAGCTACATGAGATCGCCATGTAAACAGGCTGGTTCAGCTTCCCGTATCTACATATGATATTATACATTCCCACAACATACGTAGGAAGCTTCTCAAACGACACATGAGAAGCCATATAGAGGCAGCCAGCACCAACTATCAGATGTGTAAGCGAGGCCAGCTTTGGTCCTTCCAGCCCAGCTGACCCTCCACCCAAATGCAGCTGCAGGAGTGAGTCCCGACGACACGAGCAGAGAAACCGCCCAGCCAATCCACAGTGTCGTGAGAAATAAAAATTTTTTCTATCATGTCCATGGCTATTAAGGAAACCAGTTTTGTTTTAAGATTTTATTTATTTATTTGAGAGAGAGAGAGAGAGTGAGAGAGCGCTTTCACGCAAGCAGGTGGTGGGAGGGCAGGGGCAGAGGGAGAGAGAGAGAATCTTAAGCAGGCTCCATGCCCAGCATGGAGCACAATGCAAGGCTTGACCTCACGACCCTGAAATCATGATCTGAGCCGAAATCAAGAGTTGGATGTTCAGGGCACCTGAGTGGCTCAGTCGTTTAAGTGTCCAACTCTTGATTTAGGCTCAGGTCATGATCTCAGTTGTGAGATCGAGCCCCGTGTTGGGTTTCCCACTCAGCTGGGAGTCAGCTTCTCTCCCTCTCCTTCTGCCCCTCCCCTGGCTCACGCTCATGCACTGCTCTCTTTCTCTCTAAAATAAATGAATCTTTAAAAAAAAAAGAGAGAGAGAGTTGGATGCTCAACCAACTAAGCCACCCAGGCGCCTCAATAACTTGTTTTATGCTCCAGTTCTAGGGTGGTTTTTTACACAGTAAAGGCTAAATGACAGAACAGACTAAAAGTTCAAAAGGTAATTTGGGGCCAGTTTGGGTGTATAATTGTCATTTGGTACATTCTCCACTGCTGAGTTTCCATATCCCTGAGCTTCTGTTCCTTTGACAATCCTCTGCATTCCAAGCTTATTCAAGTCATTTCCCCAGCTGCCCACCTCTTTGGGGCCAAGCACCATCATCCTATTTTCTAAACACTGCTTACTAAGAGTACTACAGGACACACATGCCTTAAAAATATTTTAAAGGACTCAAACACGGCAAATCCTTTTTACCCAAAGTTTTTTTATCAGTGTTATTTAAAAGAGCTAAAATTTAGAAATAATCTCAATGTCCATAGGGTAACAATTCAGTAAACTAATAATCCACTCAAAAATATTATATTCTCATTACAAATAATGTAAATGAGGGACAATAAAGATAGGACAGTGCTAATGCTTTAAGGTTGTGGGCAAAAAGCTGCTAATCAAACATGTATTCATGATCATAGCTACACAGAAAATGAGCATAAAAAATAAAGGAATGGGGCACCTGGATAGCTCTGTTGGTTCAGCATCTGACTCTTGATTTCAGCTCAGGTCATGATCTCAGGGTTGGGAGATAGAGCCCGGTGTGGGGCTCTGCGCTGGCATGGAGTCTGCTTAAGATTCTTTCTCTCCCTCACCCTCTCTCCCACCCCACTCTAAAAAAATAAAAAATAAAAAAATAAAAATAAAATTTTAAAAAGGGAAAAAGAATAGAGACAGAAGTAGATGAATGTTTACCCAGGTTGGGGGTGTTGAGGAAATTGGGAGTGATGGACAATGGGTAGGGCTTCTTTTTTGGGGTGATGAAAATGTTCTAAAATTGACTGTGTATTCACATAGCTTACATATCTCTGTGAATACACTAAAAGCCACTAAAAAAACCCCATTTTATTTATTTGAGAGAGAAAGAGAGAGAGCACAAAGGGAGAAGGATAGGGACAAGCAGACTCCCCGCTGAGTGGGAGCCTGATGTGGGACTGGATCTCAGGACCCCAAGATCATGACCAAGCTGAAGGCAGCTGCTTAACCGACTGAGCCACCCAGGTACCTCTCACTAAAAACCATGGAGTTGTACACTTTAAATGGGTGAACTGTATGGTATATGAATTACATCTCAGTAAAGCTGTGAAAGAAAGAGAGAGAGAAGAGAGTCCAGAAGAAAATACATCAAAATGATGGTTTTCACTTGGAGCAGTTCCATGTTCTGCAAAATTTCTACAATGAACAGATAACATTTTTTTAACTGGGAAAAAAATTTAACTTTATTTTACTTTTAAATTTTTATTTATTTATTTGAGAGAGAGTGAGAGCAAGAGAGATCACAGAGGGAGAGGGAGAAGCGGACTCGCCGCTGAGCAGGGAGCCCGATGTGGGGCTCGATCCCAGGACCCTGATATCACAACCCGAGCCAAAGGCAGACGCTCAACCAACTGAGCCACCCAGGCGTCCCTAAATTATTTTAAAAAAGGGTGGCTCTGGTAAATGTAGCCGTCCCACTGAAAATACTTGGAAGTCACAGACAGAATCCCTCCCCAGCTCCTGCCCTATAATCCACAAAGGCACATGACATCACGGGTCAGATGCAGGTTACATACCCCACCCAGCTGCTGGATGGCCCTCGTCAAAAACTGGAGACTTTTGCCGGCAGGCAGATCCAGATAAAAGGACTTTCCAGAGAAGGGCTGCTTCCCAGTGTCTGGTGAGCTCTTCCAGCATTTTTCCAGACAACTGGAAACTCCCAGCTGAGTCCCTAGAAAAGAAGGAGAAAAGGTACAAAGTGAGAAGCATGGGCTAAGAGAGTCCCGCGAGCCAAGCGATGCTCATCGACAGCCTCGGTATGGTGTGCCCCAGGTAGGCCCCGGGCACGTAAAGATGAATCTGAGACTAGCGTTCCCGCCCTCGTGAAGCTCAGATGTGGAGAAACCAGAACCCTCGTACGTGGATGGTGGGAATGTAAAATGGTGCAGCCACTTGCGAAAACAGTTCGGCAGTTTCTCAAAATGCTAAACATTAAGTTAACACATGACCCTGCAATTCCACTCCTAGGCATGTACCCTGAAGAAATGAAAGCGTATGTTCAGATAAAAACTTATACAAGAAGGTTCATAGCAACATGGTTCATTTAGCCAATAGGAAATAATTCACATGTAAATAAAATGGTAAGTGGAAATGTGGTGTATCCATTCAATGTAATTTTATTGGGCAATAAAAAAAATTGAGCCACTGACACCGGCCACAACTAGGATGCTGAACCTCAAACACATGCTCAATTAGAAAAGCCAGATACAGGGGCGCCTGGGTGGCTCAGATGGTTAAGCGTCTGCCTTCGGCTCAGGTCATGATCCCAGGGTCCTGGGATC